GCAAGAATTCAACACTGCAGAACCACGACAAGGAATCTAACCGGTTCCTCTGGAGTTGATGCAATTTTCTCCGTTGGTTCTAAGACGTTGATGTCTTTCTGAGCAACCTCAGGTTCCTCGCACTTTGGCTAGATTGAGAATATAACAAAACAAATGGCACTTTAAGGAGTTCGATTTCAAAAACCAAACGACTAGGCATCATAAAGAGACAGGTAGGGGAGGAGTGTTTAATCTTACCTGTTCTTGAGTATCTGCATCAATTTTATCTCTTGATTCCAGCTGTTCGATATCTTTCTGAAAATTATCAGGCTCTTTGCACTTCAGCTAATTTTAGAGAGAAACAAATGGATCATTAAGGCATGAATATGTTACTCAGTGAATTCATTAAACATAACATAGCTCGAAATTAGCAAAATTTAAGCTACACTTAGACTAACATGTAATGTGTTGCCGATCTTGCTTTTCATAAGATTTTCAAAGGCTTCGGAACCATTCTCTTTAATATATCTCTCTGTCGCTGCCACGAGAGTTTCTGTTCTAAGGCTTTGCTCCTCGTTTGGTCTGCAAAGCCAACCGACTAAAGCTCGTAGATTGACATACGAGCAAGGATTCACGAGCCTTTGGTAAACATAGCAAGCACCATCAAACTGAGGCAAAACTAACCAGCAAATGGCTATGAATTTTATAAAAGACCATAGCGGTATCCTGAAATAACACAAGGAAATTGTATCCTGCGGCCGCGAGTGTATATTTGATATGCAGTATTGAATACAAGTCTACAAAAGACGAGAAAATTATACCAACTAAAACATACCACTCAATGAGTTTGATGAAAGCAAGTTCAAACAGAGAAATGAGAGAAAAAAGGGTCCAATAGATGACCAATTTTCTCATGTGATATTTGGAGCCAGATTCAATGGCTCGGACTGAAGCACATCTGAAACAATCAAGAAATGATTAAATTTCACCATTTAAAAATACCAGTGGAAAAAAAAAAAAAAA